ACAATTGGTATGTCACTGCCATTCATTCTTTTAGCTGTCAGCGATTAATGGAAATGTGGGATTTCTGTACGCGATCTGATCTTTATAGGACCATGTATTGCTGTTGAAGAATGCAGGGATTGATGTGCATCTAGCGGATTATTTCTATGCATTAATTTACCATGTTACCTATTGCCAATTCTAGGACTGGCACATCAATGTAGGTGCATGTATTCTATCCCTGGCTGATCGGATGGTGGAGCGGGCACAGGCGCTCCACAGCAACAGGTGCAGGTCTATACAGACATGCCCTGCTGCACCTCACACACACTCCCCATTTTATTCTGGGTCTTTTGGATTAGTTCTTGATGAGTGAGAGTGTGTACATGATCTGTGATTAATATTCCCTTAGATCCAAATTATGTGCATGATGTGTGACTGATATTCCCAAAGATCTGGATTGTGTGCATGATGTATGGTTAGTGTTCCTAAGATCTGAATTGTGTGCATGATGCCTAACTAATATATATTGTTCATATATATATATAATTCTAATATGCTTAAATCTTAAGTGCAGTAAACCAAAGCAGCCAGTCAACATTCTTGTACTGGTCTGTCTTCAGAAAATTAATTCAAATTGGCTCTGCGTTTAATATTTGAATTTTAACATTAAAGCTGAATTCTAGGCAGATATAAAAGACAAAAATGAATGCGGCTCTTTAATCATTAAGTCCCCGTTCACACCATCACGCTCTGTGAACACTCATCAAGCACAGTAGTATAAAACACACGCTTTGTTTCATGTTCACAGAAAGTTAAAAAGGTGCATTGCAGTACCATTCAATTCAATGGCACCTCAAACGCGCCTCCCACCCACAGTGTAATCACCTACACTGGAACGCACGGTACCGCAATGCTGAGCATTCCAGTGCAGTGTGATTGCAAAAAAATGTGCATGCAGTTTTATTCTGAAGTAAACTTTATGTTTGTAACACTGCATTTGTGTATTTTATGTTACATTAAGGATGGTATTTAATTTTTTTTAAATCCGATTAATCAAAAAAATAGTCAGCCAACTAATCGATTATGAAAATAATCATTAGTTGCAGCCCGAAAAGATGTATTAATCATCGAATTTGCTGTGCCATTCACCATTATTCTTAAAAATACGCAGACTGCATGTTGCAGAATTTGCTACATGTGTGACTTTCCCGCATTTGTTGCACATGTGGCCTCTCATAGAAATCAGTGGGGACAACACTACGGTGTTAACGAGGGACTAATGCATTGTTACATGTATTGTCTCAAATGCAAGCAGTTAAATGACCTGAATTTGCATGGTTATTGACCTATTGCAGCCCCTGTACTGTACAGTAGGGCTGGAGTGTGAGAGGAAGAATCAGCACAAGGAGCCAATCCGTTCATGTACTGACAAGATGTATGCTGATAGGAAGAGAAAGCAGAGTGACAGAGATGAGCTCATCACTGTTCTGCTTCTCTTTTCACCGTCCAGTCTCGGCTTGTGACAGGTCCAGGATGACCTGGGCTCAGATAAAGTGAGTTGAATGATTCTGGCCATTAGACTAAGGACATGCTGTGCCAGAAAAAAGTACTGCAGGGAAATCTCTGGAATTCCAGGTACAAACATTTATGTATACTTGCACCCCTCCAGCTTGGCCCACTGTAAGTATACATATTTTATACCTGTTTGACCACAGGGATCCCATAAAACACTGTAGTACCTGGTGTTTTAGAGCAATCTGTGCTTCCCCTGCTGTGAAAACACAGGAGGATGCTTTTTTGGCACAGCAGAAATTCAGCGAATGTCCATTATTTGGTGTTAATGAATACTAGGCGTTTTCTTTTTGGGCAAGGGGCAGTCCCATAAGGACAGTGCCCCTCATCCAATCAATAAACACAATATTTCATTGATAAAAATGTGAAGCATTCTCTGAATGGCGGCTGTGCCGAGCATGCAACCCCTTGTGTTTTCAGAGCAGAGGAGAAATCGCTCAGCAAAGCACCATACAGGACCTGGAAGATCGCTGTCAAGCACTGTAGTAGCTTCAGCTACTATAGTGCTATACATGATCCCTGTGGCCCTAACAGGTAAAAGATGTATACTTACAAAGGCTCATGCTGGAATGACATCAGTATACATAAATATATCTATCTGAAGTTCAGCTTTAAGCCCCATGCATGCCCGAGCATTGCATGGTTTGTAGTATGAAAAAGTACATGCTTTTTTGGGGGGACAGAAACGCATTCCGTGCAATTAAGACAGGCTAACGCACTTACCGTGCATTATAGTACCGGAGGTGCGTTATGTTGTCGCTCATTGAACCACACTCACTGCATTATGGCACAATTGGGTGCATTGTGGCTGGAGGAGCACGTGGGGTGCCATAAAAATGAATGTCAGTGCAACGCACCTCCCACCCTATAAGGTACGGTAGGTGTGTTGTGTGGTAGCCTGCCTCAATAGTATGGAACTGTGCAATTAAGGCAACGCTATGGTGTGAATCCACCCTTAAAGTCACACCCCCCAATGCTGCTTTAAGTACTTACCTTGAATGATGCCTCTTAATCCGATCATCTTATTTCCTGTAGTTTTCAGGAGTCCCTCCAGCGCTGGTGCCGTTCTCTGATCCAGCACTGACTGCTGCGTTTTCTGTGTCCCACGGAGTCTGTGCGGGTGCACGTTGCTGGGTTGCTGCATTGACTTACCCTGTGTCGCTGTCGCTCCTCTTCTTCCAGCCGAAAATCTTTACTGCGCATGTGCCCGCCCCATGCTCCTTCACGACCGCTCAAAAATCTTCAGATCAGAGCGAGCGGCAGAGACACAGGTAAGTTTTTACCTATTTGGTACCTTTTTGCATATATCTACTGCTTGTTAGCAGTAGATATATGCAAAAAAAAAACAAGTGTTTAATTGTACTTAAAGGAGAACTATGAGGTGATTTCCACTCATCCTCAGTTAGAGCCGACGTGTGACAATTTAACTGTCACGCGTCGGCTCTATTGATCGGGAAGTGAGCGAACACATACTGTCACTCGCTCACTCCCGATCATCTCCCTGCAGAGAGCCGTGACTGTCAGTCATGGCTCCCCGCAGGGTTTCCCCCCCTCCGATCCTCCAGAGCTGAGTGGAGGGACAGATGGGGGAGGGCACAGCTGGCTCTGCCTCTAGATAGGCAGAGCCAGCTGTCAATCAGCCAGCTGGGTGGAATCTCAACAGTATTGTCGGGATCAGTCCCGGCTGCAGCACTCTCAGTATATAGCAGGCGATAGCTCGCGATATACTGAGCTGAGTTTATTGGTGTTTTATGCAACTGTCTGTCTATTTATACCTAGATGTGATCACTGTACAATTGTCAATGCTAAAGCCTGATGAAGGGACCCTGTGCGGTCCCGAAAGCGCTTGTTTGGTCATATGACAAAAAACTTCAATAAATGAAGCTTTTGCTATCTTAAAAGGATTGGTGTGCTGGTGACATTTCTACAAATACTGAGCTTTGGGTCACGGGAGGATGTTAGTATATATCCTCCGGTGACCCCTAAGGCCCCGTTCGCACTTAGCGATTTATCGCGTGGTAATTCCCGCGATATCGCAGCAATTTACCGTGCGATATCGCTCTCCAATGCTTCTCAATGGGGCAAAGGGTCCTGCTGTCGCGGGCCATGCGTCGCTACAGCAGAACCCTTTTTGGAGCGGATTTAGCCGCGATTCAAGCTTGCTCAATGCAAGCATTTGCGCGATATTGCGCAAAATGCAAATCGCGCAACAAGCGCATCGCGCAGTGTGAATGGGGCCTTAGCGAACCATGGGATAAAAGGGTGGCACCATAGTTTTCTATTAAAGGTCTCTATTGCAGAAATCGCTGTTTTTGCAATTTGATCTTTCAATGGGCTATTCATTTTTATCTTGCGATTTTTGGCTGGAATTCTGCTTTAAGATGTGTTTACGGAATAACACTGATGTTGAAAGGTGAATTTGTATATAGTAACCCATGGCACCAGCATCATATATCATATTGCAGCAAAGGCTATTTTGATCATTTTTGCTGGATTTCTGCTTTAAGATGTGTATATTGAATGACGCTGAGATTCTCACTGTGCTTGAATGGGTTTTCTCCAGGTAGTCCGGTTTCCTCCCACACAAGGACATGCTGGAAGGTTAATTAGCCCTGTATGTATGAGATAGGGACCTTAGATTGTAAGCTCTTAGGGACTGATGTGAATGTGCACGATGTAAAGTGCTGCGTAAATTGTCACATGTAATGTCCTAAATAAATACATGTTGAAAGGTGAAGTAGACCATAACCCACGGCAACAGCCTCATACCGGCTGATTTGCTTGTATAATGCCCTTGTGCCATTAACCCAGATCAGTGTTATACAGCAGGCATGTGTCGTGTGCCATGGCACTATCATACACGGTCGTGCACCCTGTGTGTGTGTGTGTGTGTGTGTATGTGTATGACTTTCAGGAGTTGTATACACTGTCGTAGTAACCGCCGTGCTGACTCCTATATAAACGGCTGCTGATGTAACACACGTCCATTCACCTTCCCCGCGTGTATATGTCTGACATCACGGACACATGACAGCCGTGCTCAACTTTCCCCGTCTGATTGGTATAAACATGCTGCCTATGGAATCCGTCCAGCCGTAAATATGCCGAGAATCCAAGGGAAGCCTCCTGCCCGCGCTATATCCGACGTGTGATGACGTTCATTCGGGGTCTCCCCTCCCCTGGCTGCTATTTCAGGGCCGTGTCCCTCCAGCCGCGGCGGCTAATAATAGCAGCAGCGCTATTAATAGATCAAACAATGTGCCCTGCGTCATAGGAAACAGCGTGCGTCACCAGATACATTCCAGGCTACGCTAAGCCGGAAAAACCACGCCCCCTCTAGCCTTCTATGGAGAGCGGAGCAGAATCACCCACGTGCGTCATACACCCCCTGTGTCATGGCCACGCCTTCAAGTGCGTCACAGAGGCTTTAATAGAATGTAGATGCACAAGTAGAAGCTCAGTAAGCCGTACGGGGTCCTAGGAGACAGAGAGGTGGCAGTGACCAGGCGGCATCACACTGCAACACGCTGAACCCCGCGGACAGCCCGCACCGGGGACATCTAGCAGACACAATTGGTATGTCACTGCCATTCATTCTTTTAGCTGTCAGCGATTAATGGAAATGTGGGATTTCTGTACGCGATCTGATCTTTATAGGACCATGTATTGCTGTTGAAGAATGCAGGGATTGATGTGCATCTAGCGGATTATTTCTATGCATTAATTTACCATGTTACCTATTGCCAATTCTAGGACTGGCACATCAATGTAGGTGCATGTATTCTATCCCTGGCTGATCGGATGGTGGAGCGGGCACAGGCGCTCCACAGCAACAGGTGCAGGTCTATACAGACATGCCCTGCTGCACCTCACACACACTCCCCATTTTATTCTGGGTCTTTTGGATTAGTTCTTGATGAGTGAGAGTGTGTACATGATCTGTGATTAATATTCCCTTAGATCCAAATTATGTGCATGATGTGTGACTGATATTCCCAAAGATCTGGATTGTGTGCATGATGTATGGTTAGTGTTCCTAAGATCTGAATTGTGTGCATGATGCCTAACTAATATTCACAAAAATCTGGATTGTGTACATGATTTATGATTGGACTTTCTAAGATCCAAAGTGTGTGCAGGATGTGTAACTGATATTCCCAAAGATCTGGCTTGCATGCATGATTTATTAATTAGTATTCCTAAAATCTGGATTGTGTGCATGATATGTGACTGCTCTTCTTCAATGGTCTGAATTGTGTGCATGATATGCTACTGCTCTTCTCCAATGATCTGAATTGTGTGCATGATATGTGACTGCTCTTCTCCAATGATCTGAATTGTGTGCATGATATGTGACTGCTCTTCTCCAATGATCTGAATTGTGTGTATGATATGTGACCGCTCTTCTCCAATGATCTGAATTGTGTGTATGATATGTGACCGCTCTTCTCCAATGATCTGAATTGTGTGCATGATATGTGACTGCTCTTCTCCAATGATCTGAATTGTGTGCATGATATGCGACTGCTCTTCTCCAATGATCTGAATTGTGTGCATGATATGTGACTGCTCTTCTCCAATGATCTGAATTGTGTGCATGATATGTGACTGCTCTTCTCCAATGATCTGAATTGTGTGCATGATATGTGACTGCTCTTCTCCAATGATCTGAATTGTGTGTATGATATGTGACCGCTCTTCTCCAATGATCTGAATTGTGTGCATGATATGCGACTGCTCTTCTCCAATGATCTGAATTGTGTGCATGATATGTGACTGCTCTTCTCCAATGATCTGAATTGTGTGTATGATATGTGACCGCTCTTCTCCAATGATCTGAATTGTGTGCATGATATGTGACTGCTCTTCTCCAATGATCTGAATTGTGTGCATGGTATGTGACTGGTATTTCTAAAATCTAAATTGTGTGCATGATATGTGACTGGTATTCACCAATGGTCAGGATCCTGTGCTATGTGTACCAGATTTCCAAATTAGACTGACATATTTGACATACACAGTCCCTGTACTGTACTGCTCCTGCAGTCTGATTATTCACAATAGTTTAGGAGGAAGAAATGCAACTTTTAGGGAGGATTTTTCTCCCTAAGGCATCACAACCAGGTCCTTTATAGTAAAGCAGTAGGGAGCACTGCTAGTGAGCGGCAGTGCCTACTGAGATTTAGATATATATATCACATGATTTAAGGAAAAGCCGTGTTGAGAGACCTGCAGGATACCCTGGCCTCCCTCTGAAGTGCTAGGGGCTTGGCTCTGGCATTCAATACTTTGGGTCACTGGAACAGATATTCAGCCTCTATAGTTAGAACCTCTGATCTGCAAGCTTCTTTCAGGTTGATGGCTCAAAGTATTGAAGTCATTGGATTGGCATCACAGCCATACAGCTAGTTGGGTCAGCAATGGCAGCTTTCCCTTAACCATGATAGCTTTGCATTGTCAATGTTGCAGCCTGTTCAAATAAATGGCAAGCGTACTCATATTGCTTTAGCAGTTCTCAGTTCAGCATTATACGAGGTGGACAAAGTGCTTTCTTGGCTCAGCGCAGCCTCCTCATGCTTCTGGCATTTCCTCCAGGGAAAAGTCTAACCTATAAGGCTTATAAAACGGTTTTATTGTGCTGGGTTACAGTGTTGTTTGTCAGCTGCTAAACAACAAAAGTAGCGGTTTTCCTAGCAGTGCAGCCAGGCATTAGATTTAATGGCTTCTTTAAGACTAGGCTGCTTTTATTTTGCTTTACCATTGTTTTAATCCATAGAATGGACTTCTCTTTGATGCCACAACAAGATCTGTAATACTGCAGTCAGTGTTAAGTTTGTTAGTAAATAGTCATTTTGATACAGATTTCCTGCATTAGTTGACTATAAAGACCATAATATAGTGAATTCTACAGCTGCTACAGAGCCTCTTGGAGATCCACCAGTTGGTGTTCTGTGTGATGACATCCCACAGCTTAGCAGAGTATGATGTAAAGAAGTACAAACCTTTCTTAACAACTCTTCTTCCCAAGTATTTGTGCAGCAGCTGGGATGCCATTGTTAAGTCCAGTGATCCTGGCATATCCCAACCTGCTCTATAAATACAGTGTGAAAACTGCAGGCTAAACTCTGACCTAATAAATGGCTAATTAAAACCTCTTTAGTCTTCAGTGTAGTCAATATTTAGGATATAATGGTTTCTTGTGTATTTTTCCACGCGATCAATAAATGTCCTGACTAAACGGCATGTTTGCAGAGTAACTTTTTCTAGTGATTGCCGCAACATTATCATCAAAAGGCAGCTCACTGCATTTTGTTGAACCAAAGTTACATTTTAAAAACTGATTTGCCACAAGCGTAATACTTTTGGAGTAGACTTTTCAAAACGCTACATTGTTGAGCTGCAGGAATTGCATATGAGCTGCTGCATATTACATATGGAAAAATGTTCATTACAAACAGCAATAACACTATATTACTGTTTCCAGTTAAACTGATCCATATTTTTTTTACTTGCTAATTGTGCAGCAGAGAACCATCTGTGTATCTCTTGGCTCCAAAACTTTGCACTTCCCACAATGAACATTTTAAATGGGTTTATATACCTTTTTAATAATAAAAAAGATTGTTCTGATTAAATGTGTTTTATTATATTTTTTTAATCTCTAAAATACAATATTAATGTCAGTAAACCTGCACCATCAGGGCTTGAAGTTAGTCTGTATCCAACTGCAATCTGGAATGATAAATTACATGCTGTCCTCTGTTTACAGTTAAAGCTGAAGATGGTTTCTGTGCCTTCCAGTACTTTTAAGTATATGTGTTTTTTGCAGCAATCGTGTGGTGTTAACTTGAGCCTGGGTTGTCAACTAAAGTTATGGCAATTTGTGCTTAAAAAAAAGAACTCACTGATGCCCTGCAGCGTTACAAGAGGAGCCATATAGAAGAACATTGTGCTGCAGAAACAGGCCACTTGTTTCCTAGAGAATCTACATTTCTGAATCATAAGCAGTAACTTTAGTTATAGGATTAGGCTAAGTTATAGGATTAGCATTGTTTTTTTGGGACCATTTTATGGGACCATTGTGATGCATACAAGGAAATGCCAAATGTTTACCATACAAACCAATCTTTTTTCTATAATAGGAAAAGGAAAGTTTATCCCCCTCACACATCCTATGACATCACTTTACTGTAAAGCTGGTCAGTGGTCATACACCCTAAGATGTTGATCATTTGATCAGCTCAATCAGTTTTACCAACAAATGCTATGAAAGTAAAATTAATGCGATTCTTCTGAATTTAATGGAATTCAGTCTAGCGTACCCATATCACACTTGTTCTTGGGTTTTATAGAATTAGCCAATCAAAATCTTACCATGTGAGGCCTGCTTTATAGTCCGGTCATTTGTAAATATCCTTTTGGCATATGTCACAGGCCATTCTGCCTCTCTCGTTATAAATGTGTAAATTTTACATTAGCATTTTTCCAATTGAAAGGGGAAAGGGTAGAAAGAGTAATACCCCAATAGCAGCCATTTATAATTTACTACCAAAGATAGACAAGTACTAGATTGTTTCTGACTGGCAGATGTGTATACTGCACTTTGCGCTCTATGGTTACTCCGTGCACTTGATTGAATAAGCTCATGTGTGCTATAGTGCTTCGTTGGCAACTACCAAGTGCACATGCAGTTACCAGACCAACCTTGTCATCCTAGATAAGTTAAAGAGAAGTCAATGAACAATTGGTGGAAAATGAGGATTTATTTTTGTCACAACATGACTGGAGAATTGGGGGAATTGTAGATTGAAAAAGAAGGGGCAACGCAGAAAAACCAGAGCATATTTGTTACTGAAAGCTCACACAAAGCTTTGGAAAACTTCAAATTCAACTACAATTGCTGAACCATATATTGCTTCAGTCTGCTTTAACACTACCATTATTGTTTTGAGGATTTACAGTTGGCTCTTTTACTAACCGTTTTTTTTTTTCCTCTGTTTTAGAAATGCCCTGTATTCAAGCCCAGTATGGAAGTCTGTCCCAGTGTGCAGGCCCCAGTGACAGTTATGTATCAGACACCTTAAACTCAGAGTTTGGTAAATTCACCATGGACCTTGTTAACAGTGAAATTGCAGCTTCCACGTCTTTGCCTAGTTTCAGCACCTTCATGGACGGTTACACTGGAGAGTTTGATGCTTTTCTTTATCAGATCCCTTCATCAAATCCACAATCTTCACTGAAGGTTGAGGAGTTTCAAGTGTTCGGCTGTTATCCTGGTTCTTTCGCTAATCAATTGGATGAAACCATGTCATCGAGTGGTTCGGATTATTACGGTAGCCCATGCTCGATCCCATCTCCTTCTACACCAGGTTTCCAGAATCCTCAAATACCCACATGGGATAGTTCTTATGGCGCCTACTCTCCGACTCAAAGCTATGATAATATGCGGCCATGGACAGAGCAACAGAAAACCGGCATTCCTCAGGCATCTTTTTTCTCCTTTGGGACACCAGCACATAGCCCAAACATGGTTCCTAATACATTAAAGATGAGTCACGCTGCACACAGACTTGAACAGCAGGTTGTGGATCCAGATGTGTTTGCAATGGCACAAAACTCACCCGCAGGATTTCAAACTATCCCCATTGGCCAGGGGCCTGTGGTACTGGACAGCTCTGTTTTATTGGACAGCCCATTATCTCCATCCAAAGCACGTAGCCCCAGCTCAAATGAGGGGCGTTGTGCTGTCTGTGGGGATAACGCTTCTTGTCAGCATTATGGTGTACGAACCTGTGAAGGATGCAAAGGTTTTTTTAAGGTAAGTACTGAATATTGCTTTAGATTGCAATGGTTGTCTGTCGTTACTTAGACTTGGCCTTGATTGCCTCACCTGTTGGTCTCCCTGGGTGCTGGATGCCCTGCAGACTTGGCAGGCAGTCCTGGCACAATATCTTGGTTCTCAGCCACCCAGTCTTTGCGCTTCAGCTGATACGCGTTCCTGAGGATGAAGAAAGGGGGCTCGTCCCAAAACCGCTCTGTGGTGTTAAAAAGCAGCTGTCCTCCCCTGTGTACAGTTTCTTGGCTTGCTTCTACAGCAGTTGATCATCTCTGCTGCGTTTTCCTAACGTCAACTGGAAGAATTGAGCAGGGGCAAACTGGGGATAAGACGAGGAACCCAACACCAATTACAAAGCGGTTAGGGAACCAGAAGTTTCCATTAGGCAGCAGGTGCTGGAACGGTGTGAAATAAACTGCAACCTTAACTCCTGCAGAGCAGAGAGACCAGAAATTACTTGTACCAGAAGAACTTTTTCTGTTGTAATAAGTTTATTTTTAACGCTGGTCACAGGAGGCCATGTATTCTGGGTAGAAGCAAAGGTGTGTTAAAAAAGCAGCAGCTATGAGTCTAAAGATGCATGTAAATCACGCATTGCCTTGTTCAAATTGTGCTGGATGCAGCAAAGCATCCAACAGTTTGTTGGTGAGGGTCCCATAGAGACAGGAAGCCAAAGAATATGCTTGGTAACTGTCCCCTCTGCATTGCACTTTAATTAATATATATATATATATATATGAGAGAGAGATGTTTAAATGGGAAAATGAATACAAATGTTAGGAAAGCCATCAGGAGAGTTCCCACTTGATTTTCCCTGCATTAAAAATAATAGTATAGGTACAGGCTCAGGTCTGATTTTATTTAAAAAAATAAAAAAAAGTCCTGTTTTTAAAATGGGTAAACAAAATCTTTTATTTTTTGTTACACCTGTTTATAAATAGGACAAAGCATAGGTAAATGCTTATAATAAATAGCTTTTCGTTTATTTATGTTTAGAGTTAATTCAATGATATCATTAAAGATGAGCCCAAAATTGCATAGTTGGAAATTATAGGATTTATGTCATTGCCCCTCTGTGATGTTGAGGATTTGCTTCCTTAGAACTTGTGCTTTCAGGGTCATTCCAAAGTTAGGACTACAGTTAGGAGCATTATTTCTTTATACATTTGTATACAATACTGTAATGTAGTCCTACATTTCATTGTATCTAGAATGCAAAGGTGAACAATCCTTGGCTCTAAATTGTGCCAATGTTTTACTACCACAACTGCGTTTCAGCCAGCGTCCTGTGTGTTTGCAGTAATCTATCCTAATTCCCAGTATAAGGCCACTGTCTACAGTTTCAGCCCGCCCACAAAATAATTTGTTTTTGTACTTTCTTGATCTGGGTCCATCTGTGTTATAGTCAAATCAGGTGCTTTAAAAGAGATGCTCGGCTAATTAAGAAAGGCGAATCACTCTCTTTTTGCTTAGAGCCAAATGTCAACTTGATATTAGGAACAGTCCGACACTAGAGAAATGTTACAAAAATAAATGGAACAGACAGGGCTTTGTGTCAGTCTGGCATCTTGCTTCCTCTGACAATTGTTCCTTTTTCTCCCCACAGAGGACTGTACAAAAAAATGCCAAGTACATCTGCTTGGCTAACAAGGACTGTCCCGTGGACAAAAGGCGCCGGAATCGCTGCCAGTTCTGTCGGTTTCAAAAATGCTTAGCAGTGGGAATGGTAAAAGAAGGTATGTGCTTTATTATATCTTAAGTCATTTTATTATCTGCAGAGAAAAAGACAGTTGTATGTATTTTGAGGGGTGTGTGTGTGTGTTTAAATTATATAGATTTATGTTACAGAAGATCACTTGTGTGTACACATATACACACAACTGATCATCTGCATGCCTGCGGTTTTTGAAGGGGATTTTCAATTGTGTAAATATACAAGGGGGTATTTAGTAGGATGGAGATCAGGTGACTTCCAGAAAAAGTTTAGATTAAAGAAGACAGTGCAAAGTTATTTTACAGTAAGGAACCATATTCTTATCACTTGAATCACTTACCTTCTTTGTGTTTTGCTTGGTTTTCTAATTACATACATTGATTTTTTCAGTTGTACGCACGGACAGCCTAAAGGGCCGTCGGGGTCGCCTGCCATCAAAACCAAGGCCAGCTTCTGATTCTTCACCCATTAGTCTTATTAATTCACTGGTACGAGCTCACATCGACACCATCCCCAATTCTAGTAATCTGGATTACTCACAAGTAAGTTGAACCAGTGCATGTTGACATTTTTTTTATTAATTTCCCCATTTAGACACCTATTTAAGTTTATATTTGCAAAGGCCAACGTGCAAGTTGAATATTATGTCATAAAGTGAACCTGTGCTTTAGGAACAGGTTCACTAATTTAGCACTTCACAGCAACACATATCCATATTTTGCCTCCACCACTGCTCCATTCTGTGCAAGCTAGGAGTCTCTGGAGTTGTAGCTTACATGGGGCCGTGGACTCCCTCTGTGACGGTGATAATTGGCCCAGCACTGTCACATGGGGCGAGTCATATGCCTCCATTACCGGAAGTACCTAGTATTTCATTGGGCTTCTAGAGTGAAGAAAAGTAAAATAAAGGCTGGGGAATCAAAGCAAACCTGTTGTGTTTCCTTGAATGGGCATAGCACAGGTTTTCTTTAGGACCTTTTTTTTTATTTATAATTTAACTTGCAGGTCGGTTTGGAAAGTTTTTGTTGATTAGTATGTTTGGTGCCAACTCTAGCACTGTGTAACCCCTGATTCCTTTTTTTCTATGACAGTACCAGGAGAATGTCTCCGTCCTGCTGGAGAAGGAGAATCCAGTTGACGTACAGCAGTTCTACGACCTTCTTTCAGGTTCTTTGGAAGTGATCCGCAAATGGGCAGAGAAAATCCAGGGCTTCATAGAGCTTCCTAAAGAAGACCAGGACCTCCTATTGGAGTCTTCTTTCTTGGAACTGTTCATCCTGAGACTGGCTTACAGGTAATCCAGCTGTTAATTTCTGGAGGGCGGTCTCATTTTGGCCTGCTAATCCCTGTTCTGAACACTGGGCAGGACATGCAGTAATATAGGCGCAAGAAGACTTTCGCTACCTTGATTGAGAAATTGGATTCTCCCATTGGAGAGCAAGCCAACATAAACAGGAGTAAAAATAAAGGGCTATATTTAGCCCAGACTTTAAGCTCATGATCTGGAGTGATTTTCTGAGTTAAAGGGGACCTGGCCTGGAGCAACTATGGTTAGAATCATTTACAAAGTTTTGATATTTGTATAGAATTTTACAGCTGTACTGGCTGAGAGAGATATGGAGCCTGCAACTGCTGGCTTCCTTCTTAGCTGGTTGCCTGGCCTTACTTTGGGTCACCAACCTAGAATAAGCATGTAGATAAGACAGTCAGAGTGAAGTCTGAATGACTCATCTGCATATTCAATATAGGTATTGGCATATAGTACTTAAGCCATTGAGTGAGCACTATGTCCAGACAGAAAGACAGCCTGCATATTTCTCAGGAGAGGTTTAGAAAGGTATAGTGAATTTTCAATGAGAGTATGTTTTGAGGAGTTGCTTCTGTTTAAGCAACTGTGATCATTAACTCAACCTGCATATCTACTATACAAATATGGCTTTCCCCATAGACACTTTAAAATTACAAATTATACATCAAATTAAAGTTTTCAAAACATTAACACACAATCTGTAAGATTCACATTATTTTGAAGATTTTTAAATGTTTATAAAAAAACAAAAGTATTCAGACTTGGATATTAAACATTTCCCTCTAAAAATGCAGCTACTTTGAGTGAGTAAAAAGAACAAATATAACAAATATGAAAAAAATCTAGTGCTCTGTGATATAAATGCCTTTTGGGATAGGGATCGTATAAAAGGAGTTGTAGATGGTCACTTTGTCCCATCTTATCATACTGCCAGTGGTAGGGATGGGCACAGAAACACCATGGCTACCTATGACTCCCAATAATCTTAAAGCAAGGGGAGGACAACTAATGATTCTGGATGTCTGGTTTAGGAGGATCATCACTCCTAGCAGCTTCAGGCAGTGAGGCAATCTGCAGTGATTTAATTAATATTGTGGTTATATTGCCAGTTCATATGTGCATGATGCTTAGCAGACGTTTTCTAATAGAACACAAGCTGTGCATTATTAATACTAACTTTTATACATGAATATTTTGTTAGATATTTGGCTTGGATGTGGTGGCCATAAGCCCTTATGAATGTTGTTGAGAGTTTTGTACTAAGCAAGCATTGTCTATCCAGTTATATTTTTCTGTATGGCAGGCTATAAAATGAAAGAAAACACATACGTTTGCTAGTGACTATTGTCATTGCCTTTCTCTGGGATTATTCACACCCATGGGTATTCTACCAACTGATGTGGGGCAGAATTTATTTCTGTTTATAATAATTTTTAACTGTTCATTAACACTGGTAAATTCTGAGGTTAGACCGTATATACCAATTAAATTACCTAATGTAACTCTCCAAGTCTAAAGTATTCATTTGTCCATGTACTGTAATTGACATTGATTTTGCTTATTGTTCAAACAGCTCAAAGCCAGAGGAAGGGAAACTGATTTTCTGTAATGGAGTGGTGCTTCACCGTATGCAGTGTATTCGAGGCTTTGGAGAGTGGATAGACTCAATCATTGAATTTTCACACAGTCTCCAACGTATGAACATCGATGTCCCATCATTTTCCTGCCTCTCTGCCCTTGTCATCATAACAGGTAAATTAAAAGTTTGAATAAAAGCTAAACACTTTTTTATTGTAAAATGTCCACCTTATGGAAATGGTGGACTCATTGAGTGTTGTATCCGTAGAGTCCCAGACTGCAAGTAGTTGAGCCCTGCAGCTGAAAAATGCTAATTTAATGAAAACTCAGTTACCTTGTTTTTAATGCGTATATGCAAAGTGTTTAAAGTGTTTATATATGTATGTGCATATATAATGTTAAGAATTATCATACAAATACATTTATTTTATCTATCCTATCCCACCTCAATCTAACCGCTGAACAATCACTTACTTTCTCAAACAATCATCCCCGCACAGCTACCTCCTCATGTGTCACTTGCCCTTCCCTTTTAGAATGTAAGCCCTCACGGGCAGGGCCCTCCTTACCATCTTGTCTTGAATTGTATTGTGATTGTAATGTCTTCCTTACATTGTAAAGCGCTGCACAAACTGTTGGTGCTATATAAATCCTGTATAATAATCATAATAATCTACACTTTTATATACTTGCACGTACTGACTGACAGCAGTGCCTCAATATAGAACTTAAAACGGTTCTTTAAATGGCATTCACGATAGCATAAGCTGTCTGCACATACTCAATACTTCAGTTGTGCCCCTCCCACCTCCATGCCACCCATTGAGCTCCTAAATTGTCACCACTGACATACAATTTGCCGAGGCTAGTCTGGTTACATTGTGGCATGTCAGCAATGCAGTATCCAGTTATTACATAATTTTCAAATTGCATGTTATTTTTAAATGGGATCTTTGTGGTATGTGTGTATATAATCCTGCAGTCTCTGTTTAAAGAAATGAGAGGTTGCAAGGATATTATATCACTGTATGTAACTACAACTTGGTTATTAGACTTGGTAATCTGTTAGACATTTGTTTTAATCATGGGAAACTCATTAATTTTGATTATTGTTGTTTTCATTGTAGATAGACACGGATTAAAAGAGCCTAAAAAAGTGGAGGACCTTCAAAGCCGGATAATTAATTGCCTTAAAGAGCACGTGCCGTCCACAATGAGTGAGCCCAGTCGATCTAACGGTTTGTCCAAGTTATTGGGCAAACTTCCGGAGCTGCGCACCCTCTGCACGCAAGGCCTTCAGCGCATTTTTTACCTGAAACTGGAGGACCTAGTGCCACCACCACCTATTGTAGAGAAGATCTTCATGGACACACTGCCCTTCTAAAACATTGCACTTTTCTTCTAAGCTCAGAGAAAAGGACACCCAAGCTCACACAGAATGTGGAGTATCCTGTTACAAACTTTTGGAACCCTTTTCTTTGACATTAGGTGCCTAACCAGTAGATTGTTCCTCGGTGGGATCTTCTGGGTCTTATATGAAGACTTTCATTTTATTATTCTAGAAAAATCCAGTTGTGCCTTTGGCTAAAAACAGACTTTTTTTGTGTCTTGTTTCACTTTTTAAGTATTTTTTTTAAATACTTGCTGAATTCACGTGGTTCCTATACTGCCTTTCCTACAGCACTCCAAGATTGGACCGGACCTTTAGAGCAGACTCAAAAGCTTTGGGAGATGGGCAGCATATAGCCTGCCTTTTTTTTTGCCCCAGCTGTCTTAGACACAGGCTGAAAGGGATGGACCGAATTTCATTCACAGCCAGTTTGTAAAGACTTGTACATAAATGAAGAACGAACTGTATATAGTATTAAAAGGTAAAGAAAAGCTACTCCTTGTAATGGTCACTATGGATCCCACAGTGTTCTGGGCTGTGTGTATATATGTGTAATTTTTGAAAAGAAACATTTATATTTGTGTACCTTACTGGATTTTCAGTATGTGTTTTTTTCTGATTAATATATATTTAATATATTGAATAAAAAATGCTGTAATAGCAAACAGTGGTTCATTGGCATGGTTTCTAGGGCTGCAACAACTAATCGACATAATCGATTATAATCGATTATTGAAAAAGTTGTCAACTTTTACAATAATATCCCTGTTTTTCTCCAGTGACCATTAAATGGTGGTGGTGGTCTTGTACAAAAATGCAAGATCTGTTGGTGTCCCTTTTTGTGTCGGTGCAGGGGCAATTTTGCATTAAAATGTCTCGCCAAGCAAAAAGCAACATTTTTGTGCATAGTACTGACCATTTCATTAATATAAATATTTTGCCTATACATTTTCTATCTCTTTGCATTTATCTGTTGATCCTGCCAATTTCCTTAGTGCACTAAATTTCTAGTTGTGTGCCAACAGCTCTTTTTGGCTGTTACTACTATTTGCCTTTGCATTATCAGGTCTCTGCTATGCCTCTGCCTATCAGCTCTACATTATAATGTGGCATTGGTGGCTCCTCCATCACACGTGTGGCCACGAAGGAGGAAGCTCTGAAGGGGCCAACTGCAGACCATTCCCTCCTCCCAGCCTCACTTTTGGCTTTCGGAAGTGGGGGGGGGGGATGTACTGTAAGTGGCTTCCTGTCGTGATAATTCCCCCAATAAGTCCATGCTCATGTGTGTGGTAACATACTGCAAAGGTCTGAAGGGGCCTTGGTAAAGATATTGCATGACCGAGACTGATTTACTTACTGAAATGGAAAATCTTCACTCCATAAAGTAAGCGAGGTTTCACTTTAATTATCCAATCATGTGAAAAGCAAATTTATGTATTTCATCTGCACCTGATTGGGTATTCAAAGAAAATACAGCTACAATTTGAGTGGAGATTCTTAACCCCCTTTCGTAAATCAACCTCTTGGCCATACAGGAAAGCTGCACAGAGACAAACACGTAGGCTGCCATTGCTGAACTTGTTCTCAGAACACTAATTGGCTGTCTCCTGCCTCAATATTTCCCATAACGTCTTCCAGGACAGCATCACGAGATGGAATCTCCTCCCCCACACACAGGAAACACGTCACTTAATCTGCTTAAAAGACCCTCCTCTCCTCCACTCCCTCAGTCTTTTGTGTTTCCTCAGTCAAGCTGGGGAGCGCGTCACAGAACGCTGAGAGAGGGCTTCCATGTGGTGATGCTGCCCGGGAAGTCTTCCTTGTTGGCCTGCCTGTGTAAGGCAGAGGGGTAGGTTTGCCTACCTTGTGGAGCCCCAGATTCATGTATAATAAAAGTTCTGCTCGGCATATTGCCAGGTCAGTGCTGTTTGTACTGCACTAGCACCACTAGATGGTGTTGAGGGGTATAGGAATTCCCTATACTCGGTGCCATCTAGGGGCACTAGTGCAGTGCAAAATACATCCACCTGGCTATACCTGAAGCTGTTTAAGTCTCTGACTGGGAGCAAGCATGCAGATAAAAAAAAATTGATTAAATATCAGAACTCTTCATACTTTCTTACTCATTGCCACAACAAGTATCAAAGCTGTTGGTTCTGCATGACAGCCAATCATCTCAGAAGGAGAGGTCAGCAAAGGCAGACTCAATATTTTTTTTTTTTTGTTTCATTTTAAATTAGACCAATAATTTGCTCTTTGGGTGGCTGGCTGTGTGTAAAATCAGTTACCTTTTGTAGTCCTGCTGTTTATATCAAGCACTATAGGGTTCTGTCATTGATTTTTCTCTTCTCACTGCTCCCGGTTCCAGCTGCCAGAATTGTCAACCTATTGATTCCAATTAGGGAATCCTCCAACACAGACAGGTGAGAGCAGCATGCATCTAAAAACAGTGCTGTAAAGGTAATTTGATTTTTTTACACAAATCTGCTCTCATTAAAGTACCAAAATGGCATTGACTGGAGGTTTTCTTTAACTTGTAGCAAAAAGAACATGCTCTACTACCAGGCACTTCTATTTTACAGTATTGTGAACATGGCAAAAATACAAATGTTAAAATATTTGAAAAGTCCCAACATGCACTCAACAGCTCAAGAAGACTATCTTTGATATTGAATGGCTGTTAAAGCTAAAACCTCTTGATTTATTCTCCCATTGTTTATTCCCATTCATGTGAAAAATAACTAATGAGATTAGAACTACAATGATAATGCAGCTCTACCAAATTGTAACGTTCAAATGACCTCAGCCTTAGATTAGCGAACGCTAAATTCCAGTGTAGAAAGCACATCCCTAAAGCAGGAGAATTATTTATCAGCAAGCAGTGTAAAACTGTTCAATTAAATTCTATGTGCAGGCACAATAAAATGAATATAAAAAAAATTATGTGCTATGGATGCTGTCTCAAAGTAATAAATATCAGATATATGTTAAAAAAGCTGCCATGGTAATGAAATAAAATACATTTGATCAAACAGATGCACCACGCTTATCGATAGTCATAATAATGCGTGAATAATAAAGTAATAGATGCAATTTTTTTATTTCTAGCACTTCATTATTCATGCATTATTATGATTATTGATTAGCGTGGTGCATCTGTTTGATCTAAAATGAAATTAAATACATTCAGAACATACCCAATACCATTACATGACAATTTCCCCAATCATCTTCCAGGACAGCAACCTGAGAGAT